GGATTCAGTCCCCACCACAAGGCAGCTTCGGGACAACGTATGCATGCTGTTGCTGCTGGGCACCTTTCAGGCATTCAAAATCACTGGTAAGCAAGTGGTCAGCTTGAAGAGCCTGGAGTATCACTCATGGGAAGCACTTCTCGGACGTTCTCAGTGCTTAATCACCAATGATTAGTGGGTGTTGGGGTTGGAGCCGAGGGAGTTAGGCACCACTTCGTTTTGTCTTTTAAGGCGGGTCCCATCTGTCATCGATATCCTGTGTTCGCTTCGCCGTGTAGAGATAGTGCCCCAGTCTACCACTGGCAATATGCGCATCTTCAGATAGACTATATTCTGATGTCTGTCGTGCTAACAATATTCGAATGTTGACCTTTCCGAATCCTTCGTCACCAAGTCAGTATGAAGTGAATAAAGCTTTGGCCGCCGAGAATACTATGATATTAAGAAATCAGAAGGCATGACCCTTATCGCCCATTCGCCACTTCTGATCAGTGCAACAACGCCATGCACGCATGGCAATGCCCTTCTATGGCCATAATGCTACATCTTCAGACTGATCCCAACCCCGTTAGCGTAAGCTGGCAGGCATCGTCTGATGAACTGACCAGCGGCCTCATAAATCAACTTTCATCTCAAGTAAAAACAACGTACCATCTTCGTCTTGAGTGGCAGTGAACCTGCTGTATAAAGACCAGTGCCAGCGAAAGTTTACTAATCGTGAATGCAGGTATATTGCAACGTTAAATGTTGACCCTGTGGACTTGTCCTGGCGGTGGAGACTGCAACATCCAGGACAAATCACAGGGTTCAGCATTACAATAGAGATCCTGGCAGTCATTCGGAGAAACGGAATGGAATGATCTGGCACTTGTCAGTGAATTTTGCGAAGACTTGGGGGGACTTGTCCTGCATAAGGCAGTCACAGTGAAAGCTGGGATTGCCATGTAAGTTAAGGCAGAGGCTTCGAGCTCGTTATGATTACGCACCGGGGTCCCAGTCAGATACCGGACTTAATGTGGTACTCGCACGTGAGGGTGATGCATTGATGACTGACCCGCAGTCATGTTCACAATAGAATGCCTAGTCTTGCGATCTCGCGCTCCAAAACGATGCTCGTGTTATGCGAGGGGCGATTCACTCGCTGTCCATCACTCCGCGAACACATAATCCTTCAAAACTCTCGTACTGGTTCATCATCGTCTTTAAGGACATGGGAAAGCTCGTAGGGCAATTGACGCAAGTATCAAGGTGACTAAGCCTGTGAAGAACCAGTATCTTTATTCGACGAGAAGGCGCAACCTGGATCGGTGCGTTAGGCACCAAACGACAGTTCCATCAGACGTCCATCGCAAGTTAGTACAGTTCCTTCTTCCAACGGCTTCTATTTACTCAGCATGTATGTGTCACTTCCATTACGGTCTGATTGCCCTTCAGGACATGCGGAGTATCTCCATTGCAAGAGATGCCTTCGACCAGAATTAGTAGGCGCAGGAGGTGGACCTCATAGGGCTATGACGCAACTATGACGGACTAATGGAGGCTAGCACCCCTTCTTGCAACATATCACTCACCTACTATCACATGCCGTTCGATCCGACATCTATGGAGCATTTGAATTTGACAGGGTCCGCAAGATTCTATGCAGTGTACAGGCACTCGACATGTGATCTTCTACCTGTGCTATTCTCACATACATAAAGCTAAAGGTACACTGCGTCATTCTCATTCCACAAGAAGTCGTTATAATTTTCTGCATCATATCTAGTATGGAGTCTGGTGTAGGAACAACAACGCTACCTTTGGAGGCACGAATTGCTCGTTATGACGAGTAGTGAGTTCTTCCGTATCGTCCCAATTCTTAGTATCAATCTTCTTTGCAGTTTCGATCCGTGAGTATCTCCAGAACGGAATTTTTAGCGTTTGAACTTGACAATTCTTCCAGGCGATTTTCAACAACCGTCTACAAAAAGACGAACACAAACAAACAGTCAAAACACCTCAAGAGACTGAATCAAAAGAAACCAGTCCTTGTCATCCGACGAGTCCTGGACAACAAAGGCCGATACACAGGGACTGAAATTGACATCCGAAGTCAAGAACTTTGCGATGTGCTTATGGAGATACACCAAGGTGTGGAGGGCTTAGAACTCTCACGAAGTTCCCCTGTCGTAAGCTAAACATCACATATTTCAACATCGCAATAACTTTCTCATAATGTGTTTCAGTGTGACACGAAGTTGCTCTTTCTCTCTTTCAACGAGCTCAAGGAACGACTAGAATTGGAAAGGTCGAAAGGCACGCCAAACGCTCCGCTAATTTCTGAAATCGAAGTAACTCTTTACTTTATCTTGGAGGAACACAAAACCACCTTCGCTGACCTTCAGTCATTGACAAGACACGAGTACATCACCTTTGATTTACTTTGGACATTATTCCGTCATGGCACCCTGGTCTTCAATCGCCACGAGTTTACCGAGCAGGACCGCATTCTCCAAGTGACGCGCTTTGAGATCACACAAACAGATGAAGGAATCTTTGCTGCAATATATTGTCATGTGATCACTGACGACGGCGAGCATTTTGGAATTGCTGAACAAGAGCTTTCGATCCCGTCGTTCACAGGAGAGCGAAAGATACAAAGCCTGTCTGTTTTTCCTCTCTCCTTTCACTCGAATGAACGCGACATTCGCAAATTTGTTGCCAAACGAGGTCGGAAATTTGCAAGCTTGCAATGTCAGACTTATGGTGAGATTTCCGGGATGGCTGCCTGTGTCGTCAACGATAATGTTCGAAAATGCAGGGTGAGCAACAATAACCAGTCCCGCTTAATAGTATGGCCTATAACAAATCAATATAGGCTTCCGGGCGCGTCATGATCGATCCTGGCGCATTTCGTATGTTTCAGCCTGACTCTCGTCTCATTCTCTCGGTTTCTACCCCGTTGAAGCGAGCGGAACTCGAGGAAGAGCAATACATGATCTGCACTCCTGTTATCATGGGCTTTTGCTTCAGAACAAAGCAGTGGGGTGCGAGAATTCCATGCTTGGTTCTGCACATTTCTATAACAAACTTATATGTCTCAGGTGGATTCGCTCTTGACTACCTGCGGGACGTATCCTGGTCATTGGAGCCTTTCGATCGTCTGGTCCTGGACAACAGACACAAGGAATTGATTCATGCATTAGTGGAGCAGCACGCATCGCGTGCGTCGAGCTTTGATGACTTTGTAGAGGGGAAAGGAAAAGGCCTTGTCGGATTGCTTGCAGGTCCACCTGGATGTGGTAAGACACTTACAGCGGAAGCAGCAGCAGAGGTATTTCTCAACATTGCTCATGATTTCATGTACCCTCACCACTTTCGGTCAGGTGACAAAGCGTCCTTTGTATTGTATTTCAGCTGGCGAATTGGGGTCTAGTCCTGAGCATGTAGATGACGGTCTGACTCAGATTCTGGAACTTGCCCAACGGTGGAAAGCAGTCGTTCTTCTCGATGAGGCAGATGTTTTTCTGTCACGGAGGGGGGAGACTGATGTGGAGCGGAATGCCTTAGTCTCTATTTTTCTACGGCAGCTGGAATACTATCAGGGAATCATGTTTTTGACGACCAACTTGGTCTCACAGTGCGATGCTGCATTTGAGAGTACGTGCTTTCGCTTTTTTGTACTTGGATTCCTCAATCAATCGCAAAACAGGCCGAATTCACTTCACGGTGCACTACCCGCTGCTGTCTCATGTCTCGCGCAGACAGATCTGGAAGACATTCATTGATAAGACAGTGGATACCAACCAGTCCTCAATCAGCGAGGCTGAAATCGATACCTTGGCTCGGGAAACGCTCAACGGTCGTCAGGTATGTTGATCATTGCTTTCTTTCATTTCGTATAGTTAGAAGTAATAATGCCAACGGGATTCTAGATCAAGAACACTGTGGGAACTGCTCTCTCCCTCTCGTTACATTCGAACACACTGCTTTCTGTGATTCACATTCGCACAGTGCTCGATTCCATGCAGGAATGGAACAAAGCTCGGGAACATCACAACACTTATTCGGCATCTCTGCATAAATCAAGTTTGCAGGTCGCCGTCCCGGCTGGCATACGACTTGAAAGTGCAGTGCATTACAGTAAGTTCGCCTTCGTTGTACCCTGTGGGGATTTTCGGGCCATACAGGATATTTGCGAACAGTGCTGATCAGATTCAATCTCAGTTGCACACATCTCGATTGTTATTCTTGCATATCTCTTCTTGCTTAAGAGTGCATAGGCTGGCCAGACTTGGCCACATGTCATTGATTGGACCTTATATTGCACTACGCCGCGGCCACTATGCCCTAGAATTTAGACACTCAGCTATGTTTTTACCCGCCACTCAATGGGCACAATTCAACACGTACATGGTTGAATGTCCGTTCTGTAGGGTCTACCCCAAATTCAATATCGCAGACTGCATACCATTATAAATTAGGCGTCATGTTCGACTGGCTCGGGAATAGAAACCATGCAGCGAGAGGAAGCTTTGGGCAACTAAGGACTCCCTCGTAATTAGCCACCGCAGTAAAACTTCTACTTTTTGGCGAACCTGACCTATTACATTTAATGCGCAAACAAAATGTTTTTATGACTTGTTCTCGCGATCAGTCTATAGTACTAGTACTACTTATCTGGTGTTGATCCTCAGTTTGTGAGGCCTAGTGGCCCGGGATCATCGGGAAAAAGCTCCTTCACAAAAACAAGGTAATTTCAGTGAAATCCAGTGAAATCGAGTACGACCAGATTTCTCAAGCTCGGTCGTAGTTACTTCGAATTACTTCGAATTTCTTCGAATTTCTTTGAGTTTTCAGTCATTATTCCTCGAATACCATCAAATTATTTTGAATTCGGTTGAAGTCGACATACATAAACATTGATTAAAACGAGATATCACAATCAAAAGATGTGAAAAGAAAAGAAAATATCAGCAAACTGAGAAGCAACTGACTCGGTGCCATATTCATAGCTTGATTTATTCTTCGACCATTGCATCGAGATCGAGATAGTCGCAAGTGCTTGATGAGGCAGTGGACGCCGAGTTCTCGATTGCACTGGTGTTGAGTTAGTCAGAGTGCCCAACAATGAAGAATGGCGCAAGCAAGACGCACCTGACTGCCTTGTAAAGCCGTGCCATCAGTGCATGGTACTTCTTTATACTGCCATTGAAGATGCGGTTGAGAGTCGCTTGGTGAGCCTTGTAAACACCGACGTGGGAGGAGGCATTGAATGATTTGACTTGCGCATTTGAAGGCGGGTTGCCGCTACTCCAATCCTTCAATATCGCATAAATCTGTGGAGAATGTTATGTAGTCAGTATACAGAGTTTGAAACAGTATCACAGCCGGTGCCTACCATAGTTGCAGTCAAACACACCATAGCCACCGGTAGCTCTGGCTCATTGTTTCCATCTAAGACAGAAATGAAATCATCATGGCACTGACTGCCAAATGAGTCCTCGCCGCCATCAAAGAATGACAATCGGATGATGTCAATGGTAGCCTCATCACAAAACGGTTGGTCCCCAAGGACCTTACCCTGGGTAGTAGATGAGAATCAGAGAAATGAAGAGAGAGATAACAAAATACTAAACAGACCTTGGCATCGGTTGGAAAAATATACTTGTGACTTTTAAGAAGGTCTTCTACCTTGTCAGCGCAGCCTTTCTGGAGTCCAAAATGTGATACAACAATTTGATGTGCGAGCTTCTTGAGATTGGTGCGGAAGGAGCTCATTCGTCCCTCCGGCTTGTAAGTGTATTAGTTTCATTCAAATAACCATGCAAAAAGAGTACATACGATCCCGGCCAGAGCCAGTGCGTAATCAAAGTCGTGCTTCATCCTCTTTAATATCGCATATTCCTTGCGCTTCCCAGCAGCGGTATGGACCGCTTCCAGGGCCATCTTTCGCTTCTGAGTGATGTTGGGGAATGTGTTGTCGAAGAGAGAGGCTTTCTTGAGTTCGAACATGGCGGCCTTCAACACATTCTGTATCCGGGTGTTTTGAGCCTTGAGGTTGATAGAGCCGTCTGCTGAGTAGACTAGATCTGTGAATATGGGCCATGTAAAAGAATGATCAGACTCAGAAGCTGACACATGAGTGACATCTGAAGCTGGCCGCGGCGGCACCACAGTCTCCACAAATTTAGGTCTCTACACAGTGTGATGTGAGACGGAATCATGGGAGTGTGCAGTGGAACACGTCACCTCAAGGTCTTGTTGTTACGCACTCAAATAGATCTGTTATGCGGAGCCCTAAGAGGGGCGTCGTCCGCTAACGTTCGTGACGTAACCGGAAGGGTCCGGTGTAGCGACTGAGACTGGCGACGTCGAGTCGGCAGATATCAGAGACGCGCGTGTCACGTGACTTCTAAGACGGATGTCTTCAAAGTCATTGACGTTCTCAAAGTAAGGACAGTCTTGTCCGAACGATGAGGTGGTCGATCGAGGTAGACTTAGGCGCGATGAGCACCTAAGAAAAGATACTAGAGACTGAAGCTGAGGGGGCTTCAGAGGGAAGTATGTTCGAGGGAAGATTGAGTAGATTCAAGTTAGGGAATCTAGTACAGAGTGACCGACTACTTATACTAAGTGGAAAGGGTTAAGGGCAAGGCTACCGTACTGTAGGTAAGGGCAAAGGGGAGACGGAAAGGGTATAGGTACGATGGTGGCAGAGCCTGATTAGTGATGTAAGGTCGAATGCGGAATGAGACCGAGAAACGTTGGAACGAGCCAACGGTAAATGATACAATGTGCAGCATGCACGAGTCAAAGGAAAGATAAGACAAGATAAGGAAAGCCACATTGGTGGCACGAGTCAGAACGAGTCATAGCCCGAAGGCACGTGCGCACGTTGGTGCGATAGGAGGGGGATGAGGGACGGGAACGGTCCCGAGGATCCGGTCAACGGATAGTCGGTAGAGAAGTGCGAGCCGGAGGCATACGAGGGCGAGGACGAAGGGGAAAAATGATAGGGGGGCCATGTAGCCGATGTTACTTGTAACACTTGTCGTTCTTCTAGCTTGCTCTTTTTCTTCTTGTCTTTCTTCTTGTCTGGCTGGTGTTTGGTGACGGCTGTTGCTTCACGGTAATATGGCTTGGAATGACCATCAGAGGCTTTGTCAGCAACATCAACTTGAGGAACACCGGCAGTAGTGCCAGAGGCCATCCATTCAGATACATTGCTACCTGTGCGCACAAAATGGGGAATCTATGTCAAAAGGTCAATTTCAATGTTTCTGACAATGGGGTCAAGTACCTCTTTAATGAGTTCCTCCTGGGAGAGTGACTCAAAGTCATCATCCTCAGGAACTTCCATGTCGTTGTCTGATTTTTCAGATGCATCGTCACTCTCTCCGTATTCACTAACAGTGTCACTATCTTCAATTGACACCGTGGCTGATTTCGAAGAGTGCGTTGATCTCTCACGACCTCGACTTTCAGCATGACTGATAACTTCATGTGCTTCTTGACCACGGTCTGCTGTTGAGTATCTCATCTGTCTCAAGTAGCAGTCTGTAACTAACCATTGTTGTGATCTAGCTTTTTTGCAGGTATCTTCCGTGCTAATTTGGCTGCAGGTGCTGATTGCAGTCCAGTTACTGTGGGTGCGCGCTTATGACTGTTGGCCGTTGTCTCATTCCAAACTGAAATCAGGTGCGTTTTAGTAACTGCTTTCTAACTGTGCAAGTGCTAACCTTTCCGCTCTAAGGCCTTTATCTTCGACGACCGTTGCAATGGTTCTTGATGATTGTGAGTCCCTCACAATTTTCTTTTATGTACTACTTACTATCTGTATCGCCTTGATTTTCACCACCAGATTCTTGACTCGCCTTGGCCTTTGTTTTGCTGTTCCGCTTGTGGGCGGCTATTTCTGACGGTGTTAGAGATGCTCTGGGAGGCATGCTGATGAGGGGGCAAACGGGAGGAAGGACTGAATGCTGATGAGGGGGCAAACGGGAGGAAGGACTGAAAAAAACTGCAAGGTTCGCAGTCCGCTGCCATTTTGAAGCTTGTAAGTTTGTTTGTTGCTGCCACAGGGCCGCATGCCATCACGTTAAATTTTGCAACTAAACCTTTTCTGACCTGGATCTTCACCAACAGGGTGCGTTTGGTATTGCTTTCACTTTTGCACTTTGTGAGGGCGTGTCTGCTGGGGTACTGCTTTCGCTCTTGCACTTTGTGAGGGTGCGTCTGCCAGTGGTAATACTTTCACTTTTGCACTTTGTGAGGGCGTATTAGTCCACTGTCATTTGGTTGCTGTGCTGTATGTTATCACGTCAATTTTTGCAACTAAACCTTTTCTGACTTGGCTCTATCAACAGCCCACGCACACTATTTGGATACCTTTGTCTCTTTACGCATGCTGTTCGGATACCTTCGTCTCTTTATCTACGCCTGTTTCTCGCCTGTTTCTCTACTGTCAGAATGAACACTTGCCCAGGCTGTGCAAAAAACTTCGAGCATACTGGATACGCTCATCACCTAGCCCAGACCATAAATCCATCATGCGCTGCTCAACTACAACTTTCTGGTCTTTTTCCAGAGTCGAGCGATAACGATTCTGATGGTCTTGCAGAGGATGGAGATACTGACAGTCTCAATGGAGGAGATGCAGAATTTACAGGAGACTACTTTGGCTACTACGATGAACAAGATCTGGAATGGCCAGACGATAACCACGATGAGCTCCCCTTGGAATCTGATGGAGAGGATGAAGAGTATCATGACACAGCACTTGAGCATGGGTGGGAACACCCTGCAGATCCTGTCCAGCAGGATATCAATGGTGGGGATGATTTCGAAAACTCGGACAACTCGGACACACTGTCACAATCACTCCCAGCCAAACGACAAGAAGCAGAGGCGCCCCTTGGTCACCAGCCCATTGTTGAGAAATTTCCAAGGCGCCATGCAGGTGCTCCAGTCCACCACTCCCGCACTACAGCTTTCGAGTCTTATAAGAATGTACTGCAAGGTGCAGAAAACGTTTGGGCCCCCTTCGTGTCTCGCACAGATTACGAGGTCGCAAAGTGGGCAAAACTTCGTAGTTCTGGCTCAACTGCTTTTTCCGAGCTGCTTGCAATCGATGGTGTGAGCTTTCTCAATTGGATCATGATGGGCCGATATTTACGATGACATTTATATAGCTTCGTGAAGCCTTGGGTCTTTCATACCAGAACTCCCGTGAACTCAATCAAATTATCGACCGACAGTTACCATGTCAACGACCGCGTTTCAAACACGAAGAAATTATTGTTGCAGACGAGGCATTTGATGTTTACTCGCGCGACGTCATGGAGTGTGTCAAAGCTCTTTATTCAGATCCTGAATTCTCACCACATCTCAACTATGCTCCTGAACGCCATTATGCCGATGCCGACAAGACTATCCGAATGTATCATGATATCCATACAGGCAAGTGGTGGTGGTCCACCCAGGCAAGTCGTCAGACAATCTGTTCGAGTCATATTGAACTTAATGGAACCTCTTTTAGAAAGAACTTGAAACAAAGAAACCGGGAGCAACAGTCATACCCATTATCCTTTCGTCTGACAAGACACAGGTCACTATGTTTAGAAACAAATCTGCCTATCCAGTCTACATGACAATAGGCAATATTCCGAAGGAGATCCGTCGAAAACCATCTAAACGAGCGTGGATTCTGCTTGCCTATCTACCAACTTCGAAACTCGATCATATCACAAACAAGGCTGCTAGGCGTCGAACGGCAACTAATTTGTTTCACGCTTGTTTGCGCCGCATTCTTGAGCCTCTGAAAGTCCCTGGCGAGGATGGCGTTGCTATGGCCAGTGGGGATGGTGCTGTGCGTCGAGGGCATCCGATTGTCGCTTGTTACTCCGCAGATTACCCAGAACAGCTGTTGACGACTGGGGTAAAGTCAGGAGAGTGCCCGAAGTGTGATGTCCCACACAAGGAGTTGGGAAGTCCGCATTTCCCGGTAAACCTGCGAGACCTCAATGCAATTCTTGCCGCATTGTCCCTCGTCGACGAGGATTATGACCTGTGGAGACGAGCGTGCCAGGAGTGTGGCATTAAGCCTGTCTTCAAACCATTCTGGCTGGATCTCCCGCACACCAACATATTCCAATCCATCACGCCGGATGTGTTGCATCAGCTCTACCAGGGTATCATAAAGCACCTCACTGAGTGGATCAAGGAGGCATGTAGCGAAGCTGAGATCGACGCTCGTTGTCGTAGGCTTCCCCCAAACCACAACATCCGCTTGTTTCTGAAAGGAATCAGTCACCTCTCACGTGTTAGTGGAACAGAGCATAACCAGATCTGTCGCTTCCTGCTTGGTATTGTCATTGGCATACAGTTGCCTGGAAATCTCAATAGTGGTCGCCTTACTCGTGCCATTCGCGGCATCCTTGATTTCCTTTACCTTGCTCAATACCCTTCTCACACAGATCAAACTCTAGCACTGCTCGATGATGCCTTGACACGCTTTCACGATAACAAGGATATCTTCCTTGATCTTGGGATCCGATCGAATTTCAACCTCCCGAAGCTTCATTCCTTCCGTCACTATGTACATATGATCAAAATGTATGGCACGACCGACAACTACAACACCGAGTACACCGAACGCTTACATATTGACCTCACGAAGGATGCTTACAGGGCTACCAACCATAAAGACGAGTATAGTCAAATGACGCTCTGGCTCGAAAGACGTGAGAAGATGTTGTGGCATGATAACTTTGTTAAGTGGCGTCTGGTTGGTGATCTTGCCTCACAAGAAAGGCCACCACCAGACATGGATTATCGTCGGGCAATCAAGATGACGAAACACCCGACCGTCAGACGTGTTCCATTGGATCACATTGTGCAGGACTATGGCGCCACTTTTTTCACAGCAGCATTGGCTCGTTATGTGGTTGGCAGGAATCAACCTGGTTTATCTGCAGCGCAACTGGAACGAGAGGCTGCTCATATCATTCTTCCCTTTGATGCTGTGGCTACATTCCACAGGATCAAATTTCACGCAATCGATGCTCACGGGTTCCAGGACTCGAGTGTAACAGTAGATTCTGTGCATTCTCAACCATCGCGAAAGGACAAGAGAGGGCACACGATCCCCGCACGCTTTGATACTGTTTTGGTCAACGAAGGGGATGGTGGGATAACGGGCGTGAATGGTGCGTTTGCATTTGTGTGAACACGGCCGTTAATCTGACTTTATTCCAAAAAGGATACCGTGTTGCGCAAGTTCGCGTCGTCTTCACGCTGACAAGTCAAGCTACAAATTTGTTATTCCCCGCTGGACCTCTAAAACCACCCGCCCACCTTGCGTATGTGGAATGGTTCACACCCTTCCAGCAACCTGAATCACACCATGGGCTGTACAAAATTTGCCGTCTGATGCGTCATGGAGAGCGTCTTGCAAGCATTATCGATGTATCGGACATCCGCAGGAGTGTTCATCTTTTTCCAAATTTCGGTGCAGTAGTACCTCGTGAATGGACGAGCAGTACCGTTCTGGAGCTCTGTCCCAGCTTCTTTGTAAACTCGTTCAGTGACCGACACGCTTATTTAACTATTGTTTGAGGAATATAACGAGATTCGTTGAAATACTCTCGAAATACATGTAATTTAACAGATTCGTTGAAATACTCTCGAAATACATGTAGTTTAACAGATTCCCTGAAATTCCTTCTTTTTTGAGCCATTTTGTGAAGGAGGTTTTCTCTGATGATTCTCATCAATGTACCGCTATTCAAATCGGGTCTGCGTTGATGTCGGACCACCGTCGGACGTTCAAACGTTCAGCGCTCAGCTGTGTGCACAGTGACATGAATGGAAGCTTGATACACCATATCATTATCATTAAAATTATTTAGCTGACCTGCAGACAGGTGATAGTGGAGCCTTGCGCGCTGATTGAACGCTCATTTCAATTTGTTGATCGAACTATCTGGTCCGGAACTAGTGGAATCTGCGGGAGATCACATAGCTTCCTCGTCAACGTTGCGCTTCAACGTTTCAACCAGTGACCAAGTGAAATCGCACTTCGCTCCATGTATGATGTAAGGAATTCCTCCCTGGAAGTAAATATATTCTGTTATTGATTGTTTGTACTTCCATCGGGAACGGGTTGTACATTAATGCAGTGATATTTCCAACTCCAGGCTACGCTCCAGGTTTCACGCACTATCAGCAGATTTGAATAGTACTTAGGCTAGAGAACCTCGTCAGGCTGTGCTCCAGTCCCAAGGCTTCTGATTTGTGATATCACTAATGTCACCCAAGCGCCTCACGAAGGACCTGTGTCTACAGAATCCAGACGTATATAACCGCCAGGCTGGTTGCGGCTATGAGCATCGAGGAACATCTGTGTAAACGATCACGTCCACTCAACGTTGATGCATCAGCCAGACAATACAACTTCCCAGGAGTGCGTGTTCAAAGTTGATATGTTAATGTACCAACTAAACTCTGCTCTGTCTCAAGGAAAACTCCCTTTGAACAGGCCTGGGAGGAGTATCGCACAACCATCAAGTCGTCTCAGACCAAAAAGGTCAAATTCATCGAAAGATGCTCCCAGTTTGCTTCAGAATGGCGGGATCCTGTTATAGCCATAAATGAGGCGATCACAGAGGTGGAGGGTCAGCATTCCCAGCAACAATCCCAGAAGGTGGTTAGCAAGTATCTGCTCCCATTCGTGGATGCCTTGGAGGGTTTCACTGGTATTGTAGATGCATTGAGTGAATTCTATGCTCGTCGTAAATGTCCTCCTGGATATTGACCATCTTGTTTTAGCCACCTTGAATCCTATCGCATCGATCGTCTGGGGCTGTCTCAAGGTCGCTCTCAATGCAAGTACCAAGTTCTAGTCGAACATTAATTTTAGTGACGATCATTGCTCAACTGTACTTTT